CTACTGTATGCATTTGTCGGAACGCTGTGCGCTTAAAACTAGTCAGTCTTATTGCATGTAAATCAGACCCCAATAAAGCTAATTTTTAAAGCAAAAAGAAAATAATAAATCACAAACTTCAATTATATACGTTACCGATGCAGTTTTCCAATTGGCGAGTTGATGCCCGATCTCTGCTCACTTCATACTGTGCAGCCCCGGCCAGGGGCAGCACCGTCCTGTGCCTGTTCAAGGAGCTGCGGCAGTGAGGGCTTCAGTCCGGGACCCGGCCACCTTCCGCCAGGGAGCTGTGGGACAAGTTAGTTGCCCCTCACCCCACCCCCGCCCCCTTGGTGCCTTCCCAACCCTTTGCAGAAGAACCCCTGAGCATTTCAGATCGGGCTTCCTCCCTCAGGCTGACTGCTCCCACCCGTCCAGGATTCCTTCTCTTGTCTTGAGTGTACGTGTGTTTTCTATCATTTCTAACAGTCTGGAATAGATGTGTGTCCGCCTTCTGCTCTCTGGTTTCCTCATCTAAAGATTATCACAGGCTGCTCCTTTCCATTTCGTTGGAAGTGACCTAATAATGTTAAAGAGCCATGTTAGTGGAAGCAAAGACTGATGATTATAACCAGAGTGGTGTCCAGACAGAGTCAAAACCAGATGGGAGCTCTCTCATTGACAACTTCACTGCTTCACAAATAAAGTGTTCTTGTCTACGTATGCCCCATTTGAGGTGTCCCACTCTTCCCAGGAAAATCCTTAAGTGCATCACCAAGAAAAAGTAAATTAATGCTACACTTTTAGGAAGATAGAGGAGATCTACACAGTAGATAGATATAAACTTCACTAACAAAAGCCAGAAAACCCCCAAAACAAAAACCCTCTGTTCAACTTTTTTTTAAAGAATTTATTTATTTGACAGAGAGAGACACAGCGAGAGAGGGCACACAAGCAGGGGGAGAGGGAGAGGGGGAAGCAGGCTTCCAGCTGAGCAGGGAGCCTGATGCGGGGCTCGATCCCAGGACCCTGAGATCATGACCTGAGCTGAAGGCAGGCTTAACTGACTGGGCCACCCGGGTGCCACAACCCCCGCCCCCCGGACCCCGTTGATCTTATTAAAAGGATGTAGACCTAAACGTGCAAATAAGATGATCAAGGTTTTACTCAACAGAACATGTAGATCACGAACCCATGTGTGGTTCCATTTTTGTAAGAAAAAAACACATCAGCACGTGCGGAGTCTGGCAAGCCGCCCCCCACCCCCAGTTTTCTGTCCCACCCCCAGCCGGGCGGGTGGCACCTGCACTAGGGGAGGCTGGCGGAGGCTGGGCAGACGGCAGGGGGCGCTGTGGCTCCAGGCCGCAGGAAGGCTTGCGGGTGAGGGTGCTCCAGGGAACTCCAGCCTCCGGCCACCACCCCTCCCTCCCTGGCCCCTCCTTCCCTCCCGGGGCCCCACCCAGCCTCTGCGGCGCCCTGTCCTGGGTTCAGCAATCACTGGCCGAGCGGCCTTGGGCAAGCCCCCACCCCCACTTCCTCTGGGCCACGTTGCGGGGGGCGGGGGGAGGCAACACCTTCCCCTGCCCGGGACCCCACCCAGCCCGAGGCCCAGGCACCCCGAATCTCAGGCTTCAGCTACTTACCTGTGTGGCTGGAGGTACAGGCCCAGCTTCTGAGCAGCTCCCTCTTCACGGGAGGGGCTGCCGGACCTGCGACCACACCTGTCCTGGGGCCCCGCCGGCATGCTGGGCGGGGTCACCCCCAGCCCACCCCCAGCTGGCTGGGCCTGAGCTCCCACTTGGGCGCCCCCAGGCGGGGAGGCAGGCAGAGCTGTGACCTCCTCCCCTCTGGCTTGGGATCTGTCCTGGCTGAAGATGGGGGTTCCAATACGGGCCCCTAGGTTCGGGAACTGGTGGGGAAGGGGTTCTGGGGAGACTTCCTGAGCCCATACTTTGTCCACACAGCAGTGGGCCTGGGGGCTCTCTGCCCTCCCCCCACCAGACCCACCTGGGCTCAGGACAGGGGGCGGGGCGGGGTGGGGGGGGCTGGGTCCCCAGCCCAGCCCCAGGAAGGCACAGGGAGGGGCTTCGGGGAAGTGACTCAGACACACCCACGTGGTCACCTGGTAGGGAAAGGTTTAAGATTTAACCACAAAGTTACAGCAAAACAGACCCAGGGAGGCCCTGGGGGGAGACCGAGCGTTCCAGACAGAACTGTGTGCACGACAGAACCCGGTGGACACGCAAGCTCGGTGCACCCAGAAGGAAACGACATGACCGACGCTCGGCACACAGACACGCCAACGTCAGGCCCCTTCTTAGCACCCAATATAAAAACTTAATATCCGGTATTATTCTTCTTTATAAGCGCTTTTCCTCATAAGACACTGTGTGTCTAACACACACTTACATTGTTGCTGAAATCAGCAAGAGTTGTTACACTACCCAACTTAATAAGTTGATAAAAAAAAAAGTTCTGTGGCAAGATCGCAATAGAACTAAATAGGGTCGTTCCGAGATGTCTGGGGACTTCGTCCTGTAACAAGAGGCATTTCCAACAAGAGGCATTTCCAACAAACGGGTCCTTCTGCCACCAAGAGACTGTCTTGGTCCACAGCATCGGAGACGCCCCTGCCCCCAGCCCCGGGGAGAGCGACGGGACTCAGCAGCCCGAGGTCCGGGAGGAACCGCCGCCTCCAGAGCGCGGTCTGGCCAAGAGGCCCTCTCAAGACTGGGGGGCTTGGGCCGGGACGGTGGTGGCTGGCTTCCCGTGAGGGGGTAGGAAGCAGCTGAGGCTGGGCTCCCAGATGTGATGCATGTTCAGGGCCGGGGTGCATCGACCCCACTCCCAGCAGGTGCTGGGCCAAGTCCACCGCCAGCCGCATGCCCACTCCGGGAGCTTGGGAAGCAGGCCAGCGGCCCCCCAGGCCTGGAAACAGGAAGATGGATGCCTGCGGATGCAACAGGGGGAAGACTGGCCTGTCCCCGGCATGAGCCACCCGCGAGGCCCGGCCACCCGCACCCCACCCTCCCCAGGGTGACAGGAGCTGGACAGCTGGCGGAAAGGAAAGTTCGGCTACGCCTGTCTGGGAGGCGGTGTCTGGTGGGAGCTGGTATGTTACGAACTTGGGCAGTGACAGGTGCCACCACCTCCAGCCGCTGTGGCCACCGGCAGACACAGGACAGAAGCTTGCTGTCAGACACGCTATGGAAACGTCCGGAGGCTGGGCCACCCTGGGGGGCTCACAGGCTCAGCTCAGCTTTCTAACCACGTCCTGCTTCCTAGGGCCCCACAGACAGGTGGGCCTTTGGGGTGGGGCTCAGAGAACCCCGTCCCCACACACTGGCACCTGCAAGCACACACCTGAGCACCTCGGAGGGGGGCCGGGCGCTCACGGGGGACTCCAGGGCGGGGACAGACGCTGCGGACCCTTAGCCACCTGAAGGTCACAACGGCGTCACACAGAACAGGGATACAGGCGCAGGGGCAGGCTGCCTGGCCTGACGCGGAGCCCCCCTGCCCCCACACAGCTTCCAGCACAGACCAGGCTTTGGCTGCACAGGTTTGGGTCATCTGAGACATTCACTTCGTTGACGTTTACAGGGAACAAAAGGGCAAGTCAGCCACGCTACCCTGTTTCGGTAATAAGCCCATTTCCATGACACAGCAACCAACTGAACAGACCCTCCAGGCCACGCTCCCAGCCCACGGACCTGTGCCCATGAGCCCCAGGGCCACCTGTCCTGCGCACTGACACCTGCAGGCCTGCTGCAGAACCCTCGGGCACAGGCTGAAGATGGCCCGTTCCGGGACACTCTCCTGCTGGGTCCCCACCAGGTCCGCCCCGGCTACTGCATTAGAAATCACACCCCCACCCCGCACCCCGAGCCCCAGAGCGCAACCGCGTGCAAACTGCCAGCTCCTCCTCGCGGCTCTTAAGACGCGTGAAGACACTCGAGGCTCTCGAGTCAGTGCGACCCTGAAATCATCTCCCCGCATGGGTGGGCCGAGCGCCCCTCTGTGCTCCCGCCCGGAGCGAGAGCCCAGGAAGGCAGCTACGGAGAGGGACCCCGATCCAGACCACGAGGCACCTCCCTCTCCCCACAGGTCTGCGCCCCGACCAGACCCAGGAGTGAGGAAGACCCATCAGGAACATCCACGTTCGACCAGAATCTGCTGAGGCAGCCCCGCCCCGGGCCCGCTGGTCCTGGGAGGGGCGCGCCTTCCGCTTCCAACGGAGTGTCCTCTGGGGCCCTTGTTATTTCAGAGCACGGTGAGGGGACGGCTGGGACGTCCAGGGTTAACACACTTTGTGGATGACGGCCCCACCGTAAGCCCCTAGTGCCTTAACACCAAGACCTGGCCAGGCCCCAAGCCCACGTCTGGGAGCACCAGCCTCCCGCCCCGGAGCAGTCCTCTTGACCCAAGACATGCGCTTGCTTCGCTGCACACCTGGATTTGGGACTTTTCCAGCCCTCACCCCTGACCCTGGATCAGCTGCTCTCCTGCCACTGGCTTTCTTGGCTGTCGGGAGCAGGCCGGCTACTCGGACCCTGCGATCAGGAGGACCCACGGCGGGAGAAAGCCACCAGGGGGATGGGCTGAGCTGGAGATAGGGACCTGTCCTGGGGGCCCGCCCAGCTGGAGCAGGAGACCGGGGCTTCGCACCAGGCCGGACGGACTCTCCCTGTCCCCGCTCCACGTCCACGAGGCCAGCCTCCTGCACGAACACTCGCAGAACCCTCGCTTCTCGGGGCCGGCTCTGGGAGGTCGGCTCTCGGGGGTGAGCTCAGAGGGGGAAGGGGACCGACGCGGACCCAAAACGCCACCTGCACCGCGTGCCACCGGCAGCTGCGAGACGCGACGTGACCAGAGGCCAGCCAAGCACACGAAACAGCCAGTCCTTGGAATACACAGAAAATTCAAGTAATTTATTTAAAAACTGCTTAGTCTCCTTTGAAATATATATATACGTATATATATCTGCTCTAGAGTGATACTGCGGCATGATTGTTCATGCATCTGAAAGTTCTTCATTAAAAAAAAAAAAAAAACTTGAGGCAGCGAAGTATGACCATCGTCTGTGTCCAGGTGCCATCAGGAAGCTCAGACCGGTCGTTCCAAATGAGAAAAGCAGACACTGCTCAGTCGTGAGAGAATGGTCTGGAAAGCATTCCCCAGCAGCTGCGGCATCTATCAACCGCGTGCCTTCCCCCAAGTCTGCGTTTGGCTGAGATGCTCAGAGCGGAGACCCCACCAAGGTCCTGCGGGGGAGGGGACCGTCCTCAAGGTCCCAGACACTCGCATCACTTTGCCACTGCCCCGACTCCGGCGTCGGGTGGGCCCAGCAGGCCCGAGAGGTCAGAAGAGGTCAGAAGAGGCCGGGGCCGCGTCCCACGCACCCGAGGTAGGCCTGGCGGCAGGTCCCAGGGGCCGAGGCCGCACCTGGAGCTCTGCCCTCATGATTTCCCAAAAATGGTTTAAACACGAGTCAAAGTGCAATGAAAGAGTCCATCTCCTATCTGGGGAGCTATGGACAACGATGAGGGGGTCGGGGGTCCAGGCGCAGACATGGGTGCGCACCTGCCGGGGGCCTGTCTGCTCCCTGGGATGCTGCTGGCCGCAGGTGCCCGTCCCAGCCCGCCGTCCCCGCAGGCCACCCCCAGTTGACCCTGTCCCGCCCCCCAGGTGCCCTGGGGCCCTCCTGACAGCACAGGTTCAGGATGGGGGTGCGGGTGGGGGGGCGGCTGCCACTTCCCGCTGCCCAGAGGCGGGCCTGCCCCTCACGCCATCAGAATCTCTGAGGAGAAGAAAAAAAACATGTGGTTTCCTTAAGAAAACCAGTTTTGAGAGAAAAAAAAATTTTTTTTTCTAAAATAATGATAAAAATACTCTCCAATAATGGCAGCACCAACAGAACGTGAGATCTGACACCTGCAGGCCCCCAGAGGGCGCAGAGAGGCCCAGTGACTGGCCACACGGCTGCTGTCTTTAATCCGCAGACCGCAGGCGGCGAGCCACAGCACGGACTTGTGGTTTTCAATTATGACCTTGGAAATGAAAATCTTATTTTTCTCTGGATTGCTTGCAACTATTGTAAATCTGCCTTACGGTTTGAAAACATGCAGAATAATATACCTGCGAAATTAAACAGTTGAAATCAGAAGCTCCTTTTCAATTAAAAAAAAAAAATTTCAAATGATTTTTTTTAATCGTGGAAAAGTAATCAGTGTGGTGTTTCTGCCCAGAGGCCCAGGCCTACCCTAGAGCTACCGCACCCCCACCCGTGTCGTGAAGGAACTCTGCTTTGTGCCGTCACCAAAGCCACACTGACCAACCCGCCCGCCATCCCCAACCCACCCCCCCCAGGAATGTGTGTGCACAGGGGCGAGGCTCAGACCATCGACTCCGTCTCCACCAGCCCCTGCAGGCCCTCCTTCCGGGACAGGGTCAGGACGGTGGGCTTCTGGCTGCCGTCCCCGCCATCACCAGGCGGCCGGGAAGACAGGCCCTTCTGCTCCTCCTTGGCCTCTTCTGACACCTCCGGGTAGATCACCAGGAACGTGGCTGTCAGGAAGCCCAGGAAAGAGCCCACGGAGGCCACCATGGGGATGACGCGCACGGTCCCGACGGCATCCACCACGCCCCCGAGGGCAGACGCCACCAGGATCTGGGAGATGTACACCTGGCAGGACAGGATGGCACAGTCTATGCCGAAGCCGCGCTTGGAGTTCCCGGGGCTGTGCTGGACGTACTGCAAGAGAGAGAGCCGGCGGTGAGGGCGCGGCGGGGGTCGGCCCGTCAGCAACACCGCCGTGTTTGAATGTGAGCTCAGAAGTCCGGAAACAGAACTTGCCTTCCGTCGGCTGCTTGGCGACCACTCAGCCTGTCTCCCCGACCCCGTCCCACTTCTATTCAACACTGTATTGGAGACTCTGGCCATTGCAATAAGGCAAGGAAAATGGAAAACGTATTAAGGATTAGAAAAGAAAACATAAATCTCATCGTACACAGGTGGTGGGACTGTGTGTGATGTCAGAAGTACCTACGAATGCGCTGGAAGAATTAATAGAAGAATGCGGCGTCTCTGTGGGTAGAAGGCCTCCGCACTATCAAGTTCGTAACTCTCCCCAAACTGATCTATACAATCAACGTACTTCCAATACCAAAGCCCAGAAACTGCTCTAACACTCAGATGAAAAGTAAACCGTCAGGACACCCAAGACGATCTCAAAAAGCAAAGATGAAGGACCCGCGGCACCAGATTTCGGTCTTCCTACGAAGCTACTTAGAACAGAGCACTTGTCTGAGAACAGACCGGCCAGTGGAAGAGGACAGAGGGACCAGAAACGCCATCCAGCTCGGACAAGGACGGCACCACAGTGCGGGTGGACACCAGGTGGCCCTCATGTGAGTGGCACTGGGTCACACAGCTACCCGGACGTGGGGAAACGAAGTCACGCTCCTCTACGACACACACACACCCCCGTATCCCAGGTGGACTGCAGACGCGCACGGGACAAGGGTGCCACCCAATGCCACCGCCAGCAGAGTGCAGCACAGATCGTGGCCGACGGTGAGACCGGGAGGGAAAGAGCCGCGTTCTGCAACCACAGGAGGGAAGCACAGGCGTGAAGGCAGGGCAGACACTCTGGTCCCATGAGGTTCAAACACCGGCAAGAGGACGACACGGGGTCAGAGGTGAGGACAAGGACCAGCTTGCTGTTGTTGCCGCGTCTGCGTTACCCTTTCCAGTTTGTTGTCCAAAAACCCACTTACGGTGTTCGCTTACAGTGTGTGTACTTTTCTGTAGTCGCGTTACACTCCAACGCGACAGCTTATTAAAAAACACGATGTGGTTACTTGGATTTTCATTAGTTTGGCATTTCGTAGGTACCTAATCACTGTGGATTTACTTTGCTTCTCTAATTGTGCAAGAGAAGATTAAACATAGTTTGGGTTTGTTTTTTCCTTTCTCTTTTTTTTCCTCTCCTTTTAGGGTCTGTGTCTGAGTTTGAGAACCACAGTCTACACCAGCGCTGTGGCCACGGAGCACTTTGAGATGCGGCTGGTCAGAGTCAAGAGGGACTGCTGGCGTCAGATACACACTCCCTCCAAGGCTTGGGGAAAATAATCAGAGTTTTATATGGGCCGTGCTGAAATCATGGCGTCTGGGACACATGGTGACGAACAGTATTTGCCTTTACACTGACTGCCCCTGTCTGCTCCCTCTCTAAATGCAGCTGCTCAAAACACAGACGGACCCAGGGGGCTCACGCCCTACTACGCAGGCCAGTGCCGGCCAAGCTCCCCTGCTTTGGGGTCCCCGGGTGCCCGACCAAAGTCCCTTAAGATGCACCGGAAGCCGCCAGGCCGGCCGGGTCAGGTTGGGGGGGGGGTGTCAGGTAGGCCACAGAAGGAGCCGGTGCCTCAGACCGACCCAAGTGGGGGGCACTTCAGAACCAAAGACCTGGGGGGGCCATGTGCACCCCAAATGCCCCCCCCCCCAGCGGAAGGTACAGAGCTCTCTGCCTAGAGACGAGTGGAGAACAAGCAGGGGCTTTGGAGCCAGAGGAGTCTGATGATCTGACCTGTGCTACATTCTGGGCTGGTGACCTCGGGCCCCACCACTACATCCACTGCCCCCGACCCCAGCCCCCAACTGTGACGCACCTCCTTGATGTCGTGGTACTGCCCGAGCAGGGCGTAGGGGCAGTAGGAGATGCTCATGGAGACGATACCCATGGTGCTGATCATGACCATGGCCACGTAGACGTTGGCGAATAGGGCCATCACGGCCGTGCCGATGGAGAAGCCCAGCGTCCCCAGCACGTAGATGACCCTGATGCTCAGATCGTAGTTGTCCAGATACTTCTGTAGCAGCGCTGCAGGGAGAGTACGGCCACGGGACAGTGACCCACAGGGCCCTGAGCCGCGTGCTCACCCCACTCCTGTCGGCCACCCCCTGCTGCTGCTGCTACCTGGAGCACCCCCGCCCCGCCAAGTCCCACCTGCCCCCATCACACGTTGTGAGCCCATGGTACCCCGCTCAGCTCCCTGGGGCTCTGGAACCTCAGACGTCAGCCCTCCTAGGTTGGGTCCCAGAGTCCAACGCCTGGTCCCACAAAGTAGCTCCCTGGGGCCTCCTCGCCCTGCAGGCCTGCCTGGCCCAGACCCTTCCCACCAGAACATCCCGACACCCAGTCTTGACTTAAGATCTCAAATTGTGGCTGGTTTCCCCAGGGTGTAAACCCCTGAGTCTAGAGGGACAGACTCCTGCTCGCCGGTTCTGGCCCAACAGCTTAATGTCACCTCCCCCAGGAAGCCTCTCTGAGGCTTCACAGACAATGCTGTGTGACCTTCAGGCTGGCTTCCCGCTGCTCCACTGACCTTGGCCATCCTCAAGTCCAGCCCAGGCTGAAATAACGCCGACCTCCCCCTCTTGGTACACGTAGAGAACAGGAAGGACCCAGGCCAGACTTGTTCAGGGGACCCTGGACCTCGCTGTGCCCCATTCCTGGAAAGTGGGCCTAGGCATGCTGTTCCCAAGACTGAGGCCTGTCACCCAGACCCCCCTCCTCAAGGATGAAACCACACCTGCAGGGAAAGTCCTCTCCTCCATGAGGTCTGCAGGCCCCACCTCCCCCTGTACTCCTGGCTAAGCACAAAAGACCTCTCTCCCAGCCCACGGGCCCGGTGCCTGCTGTCCCCCAGCCCCCCAAGCCCGTCCCTTGCCAGAGCCCCTCTCTGAGGCACCCCCAGGGAAGGAACCAGCACAGAGGACAGCCTGCACGTGGTCTGAGGATGCCCAAATCCAGACACATGAGTTTCCATGCTTCTGGCCCTGAGCCACAGCCCTGTTCCAAGTCAGGCCCATCTTCTGGGCAGGACGACCTGGGCCCTGTTTCCCGCCACTGAGCACCCCCAAGGGAGTGCGGCTGCTCCACCTGGAGGTCGGCCTACCTGAGCAGATCGCACCGGTGGCCGCGTAGATCACCAGGCCCCAGCAGCCCATCTTCATGCCCGCGTTGTAGGCCTGCCAGGCGGTTGAGTTGGAGGGGGCCTGTTCCAGAAAAGAGACTGGGGCTCAGGACGGGGGCAGGGATCACGTGCCACAGCCTTTGGGCAGAGGAGGGGACTTTCCATCTCAACCGCAGGCGGGCTGTTTATGAACCGCGATGAACGCTGCGCCGACGGGAGATGCAGTCCCGGTACCGGTTGGGCTCCGCACAGGTGGTTCCAGCCCCTCCCAGCCTCGCCCTGCACCAGAGCCCGGGCGGAGGCCATGGGGCCCAACGTGAGGTAACGCAGCCCCCAGAAACAGCCAGCTGCCAGCCGGGGCACAGAGGCCGATGCCCGCCAGGCCCCGGGGCGGGCACATCCCGGCCCTCACCTTGGGGTCCCCGTCGAAGATGACCTGACCCATGAAGTCGGTGTAGAAGACGGCCTCGGCGATGACGGAGAACCAGGTGAGCAGGTGGCAGAGGCACAGGCGCGTGAGCTCCTTGGGCATCTTCAGCATGGACAGCCACAGCAGCCGCACGGTGGTCTCGCCCTCCCCCTCCTCGCTCTCCGTGTCCCCGCTGGAGGCCGTGGCCCCGCTCTGGTTGCGGTGCCGGCAGCGCTGGCGCTTCTGCAGGTCGTACAGGTCGCTCATGCTGCGCGACGGCTTGATGAGAACCACGGCGTTGGCCCGCCGGTAGCGGTAGCGGTGGGAGCCGATCTTGCCGTAGTAGGAGAAGGTGCTGGAGGCCTGGCGGCGGAACATGTGCCTGCGCCGCCTCATGGAGCCAGATGCGGCGGCGACGGGCCTCACGTCCACCCTGGTGTAGCCCATGGGGCCGTCCGTCGGCGGGGAGCCGCTGCCGTTGGGGACTTTGGCTTCGGGCGCGTGATTCTCGAGCAGCGTGTCATCCTCCTTCGCGGTTTCCCTGAGCAGTGAGGCCAGGCAGGGTGGCCTGGCACGGGCGAGCTCCTGGCTGGTGCTGCGGGGGGTGCCGGGGTACGAGCCGTCGTGGAAGATGGAGGGCTCGATGTCGGGCAGGAAGGGCAGCTCGGGCTCCAGGTCGAGTGCGGCGTCAGGCACATGCAGCACCGAGTCACTCTTGCTCCGCACCATGCCCGCGCCCAGGTAGTCCAGCGCGAGCTCGTGCTCCGACCGCACCTCCTCGGGGAACAGCCCCGCGCCACCGTCCAGCGCGCTCCCGCGGGCAGCAGGGGGCAGTGCGTCGGCCGCCTCCCCAGCCCGCTCTTGCTGGGGGCTGTACTGCTCCTCGTCGATGCTGAACAGGTGCAGGGCCACTGACACCACGAAGATGATGGCCGCGAAGAAGAAGAGCACTTGGTTCTGAGTCCGGAACCAGGTGCCCAAGAAGGTCTGGGTCCAGTCCAGCCCGCCCAGCACATAGCCGATGGCCCCGCCGAGGCCTGAGCGGGTGGGAGAGACAGAGGGGGCCTGTGAGCGGTGCCAGGCACCTCGACACTCCCTCCCAGATGGGGAGAACCCAGGACAGATCCCGAAGGGCCTGTGCCCTTAACCACGGACCAGGCCTGGCATTCATAGCTCTGGCCGAGTCAGGACAACTTTGGGGATGGAAAATGAAGTGGTGGGAAAAACACAGTGAGAAACTCCAGCTGACCCTAGGTTTGGAGCTCTGACTTAACAGAGTCCTGTCCAAGGAATCAGGAGCAGCTATCTGCCAGGATAGGAAACAGATGCTTGCCCGCGACTCTGGGCAGCGCGGACTGCCATCCCTCAAGCTCAGGAAGCTGCCGCTCCCAGCAGATGAGAACAGCGCCTGAGCACAGGGAGAGGTCAGCGGGGGCTGCTCCCCGCCGCGCCAACCAGCACCATCCAGCACCCTGCCCTCCCGCCCGAGGTGGGGAGGAGGGCCATGGGAACAGCCTCCCCCATGCCGGTAGTCATGCCACGTGCCGGGTGGGGCGGCGGCAGGGCTGCGCTCTCACCGGCAGAGAAGGCGTGGATGTTAAGGGCCATGTCCTGCTCCTCGCTGTCCACCACGTCCAGCAGGTAGGCCCGGATGGGGCCCTCGGTCGCGTCAGCACTGAAATCCAGGACGACCACCCCCAGCACGGTGAGGACAATGCCGATGGGCTGCTGGCTGGGGACATCGCCGAGGGACAGACCTACCCGAACACACGGGGCAGTCAGACCGCAGCTCCTGAGAGCAGACCGCCCCTGCAAGGGGAAGTGGGGACACTCTCGCCAACGCCAAAAAGGCGCGTGCTCCTTGGCGTGGAAGACAGGCCTTGTGTTTTCCACTTCTGTTACGCGCATGATTATTTTTTCTCCCGTCCCATTAGCTGCTCGGTGAACCTCAACGCTTACTCACTTTGACGTTTTGCAACTAAAAAAGGATCCTTCCTCCCTAACCACTACTGGGAAAGGAGAGGCATGTTGGGAGCACGAAGTTAACATCTAGGAGAAAATGTGACGTGTGGCACGTGCAGTCACACACACATATGCACACGCACCACCTTGGGGTTCAAGGTCGGCCCTAGGACCAGGGTCTGCGGGGGCGCTCCTATGGCGCTTCCTGAACACGTGATGGGTCTCCCTGGTCCTTCCACTGTGGTTCCACATCTTCCAATGGAAGACTTTGAAAGCTGTCCTCCTGATGCTACCCAGTGAGCATGTTTCTTTTCCAATTAGCCTTTTCCAAGGCTAACACTTACAACGTTTTATACATCAGACTGTACCCAAGGCACCCAGCCAGAAACACGGGCCAGCTGTGCGGAGGGCTACAGTCAGACCCCAGGTGACAGCCCACCCCAGACCACAGAAGTACTCATGACCTCCCCTGGGGTCATCAGGCGCCTTCTCGGAGCAGCCCAGGTTCCAGAAAGGGGCGGCTCTGCAGCGCGATGGGAACGGCCCTACCTCCAGCACGATGCCTCCCGCAGCAGGCTGCAAGCACCCAGAGGAAGCAGTGGTCACATGCCACCTCTCACTGGCCTTGGGGAGTACGCCCTGAGCCCAGAGACCGAACCGGTTCCCCGACGGCCGAGCTAGAGCTGGGTCCTGAGACCGGTGGGAATCCTGTGCCCACAGATGTGGGAGGTGGAGTACAAAACCCGGGGCCCAGAGCAGGTTAGCGGCAGCACGGGAAGCGCAGGGGAGAGGCCAGGAGAGGCGTGAGCACAGGTAGACACAGGGTGCCACAGCCAGCCCACGTGCAGGCGCAGCCTCGGAGAATGCCACAGCTGTCTCTCCGGGGGACAGTGCTGCGAAGGGACACCAGCTCCGTAGGGTGAAGGGGACAGGCCGAGAGCCAGCAGCCCCGAGCCCACAGGGTCTCAGAGAGCGCCCCCCGCCCCCAGACTTCTGCCAGCCAGTCACACTGGCCTTCCCGGGCCCCAGCCCGGCACCACACAGGCCTCTGAGAGTCCGAGGGGCTCTGGGCCTCTCTGTGAGTGTCCAACGCACTTGATGTCGACCTAGGCCACGTGTGCGCACGTCAGAACACAGATGAGGCCTCGATCTTAAAAAGCCGTTACCAGAAAACGGGTTTTGTTTCTATGAGTTCTGATGAGCTCCCTCGGGGCAAACCCATTTTCCCAGGTAGAGCTGCTCGACTTAAAAACAACACAACAAAGCACGAGCACACGAACAGAAGAACAAGCAAGGAACCGGGTCTGGACGCTTTTGATCCCACGTCTGAGAAAAGGAGAAAGAAGGGGGGTTTCTGAAGCCGCGCTGGAAACAGGACGTGCTGTCGGACGCGCGGGGCAGACAAGCGGGTCACAACAGGAAGGGCTGCCCTGTGAACACGTCCCCACGGCGCTCCCACGTGGGGCCCGGCCTCAGCCCCGCCGGGAGCGCCCGGAAGCCCCGCGCCTGCCCGCCGGGCGCCGCCGAGAGCACGGCCCCTCCCGCCGGGACGCGGGGGGGACACTCACCGATGGCCGAGCCGTTGAGGAAGAGGGCCACGCCGAAGAGCACGCCGACGCACAGGGCGAGGATGAAGGGCCGCCGTCGGCCCCAGCTCAGCGTGCAGCGGTCACTGGCAGAGCCGATGATGGGCGTGAAGATGAGGCCGAGGATGGGGCTCAGGAACCAGGTCAGGCTGTAGTACTGCTCCGGAAGGCCTGGGGCACAGGGGGCGGGCGGTCACGGGGCGGGCACGCGTGCCCCTGGGTCCGGCGGGGACCCCGCAAGGTCCGAGTGCCCGGCTCCGAGCCCGAGACATCTGACGCGCACCCGACGCCGACTGAGAAGCCAGAGGCCGGCACCTGGGCCTCGGAGGTGTCCCCGGCAGCCGGGCGCCCAGTGAGACAAGGGGCACTTGCTAGAGCCGGCAGACCTGGACCTGCCGCGCGCAGGGAGACCGAGCACCCGTGGCACTGACCACACTGACCAGGGCCCGCGTCTACAGCTGCTCAACGCGGCATCACAGGCACCGGACCCAGAACGGGGGTAGCGGTGAGGAACACCCCCCGCCCCCACGCCATCCTGGGCCTCTTGGCCAGAATCGATGACAAGAGTCTCACTGAGGGGCCGCATGTGCTCAAGGACCCCCGCCATGGGGGTCCCTCCCCGAGAGGGGAGGCATGGGTAGGTGTTTGGCTGGAGCCCAGGTGTTCCCTCAGGCACCGGATACTGCTCTGCTCTAACCTCCTAACGGCCCAGGGAGGTGGAGATTGCCGTGCCCGTTGTCTGGCAGGGGAATGTGACACTCAGAGAGGTTAGGTAACCTGCACAGGGTCACACAGTGACAAGGTAAGACCACCCTCGCACAAAGCCCATGCCCGTTGCCAGGGGAACGGCACACTCCACACACCAGAGCGTTACACAGTGGCCGGGGGTCCCGGCTGCAGCTGGGCATGGCCAGCCGCCCCCACACACGCCAGCCACGTCAGGGCACACGCCGTGGGCTCTGTCTACGTGAGGTCTGAGTGGCTGACAGAGATTCTGCTGGCAGAAGCCGGCGCAGTGGCAGCCCGCGGGAGGGGTGGAGGCTTTGGGGCTCGTGTGCTCTCTTCGTGATCTGGATGGGGGTCACTAGGGACTGGCCACCCTGCTGCAGGCTGCCAGTGTCCTGTGTCCGTGAGAAGTTGACTCAGACGACGACAGCGCTCCGCACACCAGCGGTCCCCGGCTAGCACTCTGCCCAGCCATGGGCCCTGGGAAATGGGGGGCTGGGCTGTGCCCCTAGGAGCCACACTCATCTGGCAGAGGGAAGCACCCCCTAAAACACTCAGGCACACAGTCCACAGTTCAAGGCATCGGCTCTGACATCTATACCACACGGAGCTCTAGGGAAGGTGGGGTGGGTTCCTACTGCAAGTCACCAGACGGACGGATGTCTCAGTAAATGAGCGGCCGGCTGAGCACGTCCCTGGTGCCGGCTCTGGTTTCTCCTGCAGGCCTGGGGCCTCCGCCCTCCTCCTCAAAGGCAGGCAGAGGGGAGAGCAGCAGCCGCACCGGCAGGGCCCACGCAGCCCCTGGGCAGGAGCCAATGTGTAGCACCACGAGCCTCGGAAAGGACCAGTCACATGTGCGACACGGTCCCTGTCAAAGAATGGAAAGTGTTCCTGACCCCGGGTACATAGACTCTTACTTTCTTTGGGGCTTTTAATATGGCACAACTTTACCAATAAACACTGCTTGGCCGGCGGGAAGACCCTAACCGCCGAACCCTCTGTTTCACCCATCCTCGGGCAGCCCGCGAACCCCTCTCCAGTCCAGCTCTCGGCTGTGGCTGGCGCTCTCCATCCCTGGACCGCTCTCACCCGCCAGGCCTGTCTCCACCCACCCTGTGACACCCACCCTGTAATGTCAGGTGTTCCCACCAAGCCCACGCTCTCCAGTGAGAGGACAAGTCTCCTCCAATGGCCGCGCCCCTCGCCCCCTCCGTGGCCACAAGCACTCGCGCCCAGCAGCACCCGCCGCGGCTCCCGGCTCCTGCAATGTGCGCGCTGTTGGTCCAGTGTCGGGGACCGACGCACACGACCAGCGGGGACCTGTGGGGCCTGCCTGGGGGTGGGGCGGTGAAACTTCGAATTAGGCTCACCTTTGCCTTATGTAGCCCCGGGCCCTGTGTCAGGGGCACACACACCCCCGTGGCGCTGCCTCACGGCTCCACACTTACGTGCCACGTTACTGTCCGCGCCCCTGCCTCGTCTCTCCGCACCTCCTGCCCGGCCTGCTTTGGGCCAACTTAGCGGAATACTGTCCGCTCTGTTTTAATTTACACTTTGGCTTTTCAGCCTTATCTTGCAAGGGTCTGCTCGGGAGAGTTCAGTACACAGCACTCTCCAGTCCGGTGCAGAAGCCCAGCATGCGAGCAGGAACCTCTGGAGGCCGCTGTCCTCGCCCCCGAGGCTCTTCACGCACGCGTCACGCACGTGTCCCATCTAGAGGGCGTCAACCCCGTCTGTGCGACAGTCCTTGCTTTAAACCGTCACGTTTCAGGGAATTAAAATGAAAACTCCCTTTGTTTTTACCTCCCACTGAACCATGTCTCCCTTCCTTTCTGAAGACCCGAGTGTTCACACGGTAGCCCGTCCCTTCTGCCTCTGGGCTGTCGTGCTCCTTCAGCGTTTCTTCCAGCCATCTGCCCACGGCACACCCGCTTGTTATTTTACCCAAAATCTCTTTCTCTTCTATTCTGACAGGGTATTTTTGCTGGATAAAGAATTCTGGGTTAACTCCTCCCGCAGCCCCCTCTGGAGCGGTGAGGCGGTCACTCCCGTTTCTGCAGAGAAGGCGGTGACATTTCACGTGACTGGAGAGGCCAATTGTCTTCCTCTCCTCTGGGTGCTTTCAAGATTTTCTCTTTCTTGTTGGCTTTTAGCAGTTTGACTACGATGAACCTAAGTGAAGTTTCCTTTTTCTCCTGCTTGGACGCCACTGAGCTCCATGAAGCTGTACCTACCCGTCTTCCAGCACACACGGGAAACTTCCTGTTAGTACCCCAACTTTCTCCTGCCCCCTTCTCTAGCTCCGCTCCTCTGGGACCCCCAATCACAAGAGCATCCGACCCGCGGACACTGCTCCACCGCATCCTGTGGCCCCGTCCCTTTCTGGTCTCCGTCTTTGTCCCCTCTGTTCTTCACCTCTGCCAACCAAGCCTTCAGTGGGCTGCGTCTTACGTCAACCCGATCTCCTCTAATTCTCTCAGATATTACATTTTTCAGCCCCAGAATTTCCATTTGCTTCTTCAGCAGCATCTCTCCGCTGAGCTCTCCCACTTCCTACTGTCACAGCCTCGAGCACACTTACACACGCCTGACGACTACAACGAGTCACCACCTTGGAGTGAGGGTCACGTTTTCGGCTTCCCTGTTTCTTCTAACACCACTAAGCTGTACCCTTCACACCGTAAATGATGTGTTGTAGACACTCTATGTTCTGCTACATTCCTTTGAAGAGTGCTGCGATTCTCATTTTAAACACGTAACTTAGCTGGACTCAAAACCCTCCCTGCAACAGGACCCGGGGAAACCTGTTCTGTTCTTTCTGCTTTTATCCGAGCTCGAGCACACAGCACAACAAGTAGCGCCCTCTGGCCCCCACGATACAGTCGCCCAGCAACTGCAGATGGGCATGCACGCCCCACCGGCTGGTCTTGAAGGTGGGGTGCACCGCACTCCTGGGCAGCAGCTCCAGTACCCGGTCCCACTGAGCCAACGGGCAGAGAGAAAGCTGCATGGAAGAGCTCCTTAGAGACGTGGGCTCCGCTGGAGGGGCCGCACTCCATCATTCCCAGAGCTGCGCCCGAGGCTGAGAGGCTCCGGGGCTGGTCATGGAGAACCACGTGTGCAGGATCCTGCCTAACTTCTGCAAACACCCACACGCCTGTCTGAAGTGCGAGGCTCCACACGCCAGACGCGAGCAGCAGAAGACAGACTGCCGGGCGCACACCACCGCCTGCTGTGAGACAGGCCCTGACCCCGTCCCACCATCCGCTAAGCCACGGCCCACCAGCACCCAGCTCACGGGAGGCCAGGACGGTGTCCCTAGGAGTTCTGGCGCCAGCAAGCGTGAGACACAGCACGGTCTTCCCCAGCAGAGGCAACAGCATGGATGGGACTGGAGAAGCTGGCTGTCAAGGGGCCCGGGAAGGAAGCCATTCCGCTGAAGGGGCCCTCTGGAAACCAGGGTTTCCCGTCCCTCCGGGAGAGGGCCGCCAGCATGGGCAGCGGCCTGGCACTACCCTGGACGGCTCCCCGTGCCCTCTGGATGCCCGAGAATGCGCCGTGGTGGCTGCTGAGCCCAGAAGCAGGTTCACCCTGTGGCTCGCTCTCCCGACCAGGACAGGTGGGTCAGGCCTCCCATCTTCTCTCTGGTCCCCACTCGTCACCCCGCCCCCAACCACACGGCCGATCAACAGCCAGCACGGCCACCTCGAGACACGCCCAGCGGCAGCACTTGGTGCCCAGGGGCCTTGCCGGTGTCTGGGCTGGACACTCGGGGCGGGAACGCTGGGCTGGATCCTGCCCCGTCACACATCCTCGGAGCAGACTCACCGGGCACAGCAGCTACCAGGCTTCCTGGCCCCGTCTGTCCCCTCCAACTGGGCACCCAAAGTGTGCACCCATTGAGCAAAGTGCCCCCAGAGGGACCCCAGAGCAGAGGCTGAGGTAGGCAGGAGCGCGCGGGAGGGGCCGATAGGACCCGCAGCAGTGCCAGCCCAATGGTGGTGTCCCTGGGCCTCCCGAAGGTGAACCCCGGGCTCCCCCACAGGAAGCCCCATGCGCCCCAGCCAGGCGGCCTCAGGGAGGGGGGACGAGCTGGGGATGGCGGAAGCGACACGGGGCAGTGGCTTTCTTTGTCCGGCACACTGGCAAGAAGCATCGGCATTTCCCATCACGTCCCTCAGGCAGCCCCAGGGGTGAGTGAGCCTGGGCTCCCCGCTGCCGCGAGGCCGCCACTGGGACACCTCCAACAGCGCATTTCCCAGCCCGGCTCTCAACAAACAGCACGCAGCCCGTAGTAAATAATTTTTGTTTTCTCCCGGGCAGAAGGCGAACAACAATGGTGGGACCAGGAAGGCTCCCCGTTCACAGGAAATGCTCAGTGTGTCAGCATCGTCGGAGGGCCGTGTGAGGTCACGGGCAGCGGCCGCCACACTGGTCACGCGCGG